GGTTAAGCAAATCTATTGTAAAATTTTAGAAATCGGTTTGTAATGATGATTTTAAGATATTGTTAGGAAGGGATATCGTATATTGACAATTCACTTCTGAATTGATTTATGGATAAGATCATGAATCTCTCTTTTTCTCTCTGTCTGTCTGTTTGTCTGTCAGTCTCTCTCTCTCTCCATCATCATCATTATTTCTGTGTGAAAGGGCGATTATTCTTGTTTAAATATATACCTTTTGCACGATGTTGAAATTTATTTATTATTATTATTATTATTATTATTAATGCTGTGATATCATTCCATCTACTGCTGATGTCAGATACGAATTTTGGTGATGTTTTGCTTTGTGTTAAATGCTGACAGGTGTTGCGTTGTCCGATGTCAGCCCTTGTGTTGGTGATGTCAGCTGCTGTCTTCGATGACTTTGCTGACTGCATTAAAGATGTCAGATTTGAGTCGATCCCTTGTGTTCACTCTGGTGTTAAGTGCAATCTTTGGTGATGTCTGATGTCACTCGTTGTGTTATGGTATGTTAGATGTCTATGGTGGTCAGCCTTTGTGTTAAAGATGTCAGATATTTATTTGGTGATGTCACTCCTTGTGTTATGGTATGCCTTTGTATTAAAGATGTCAGATATATAATATGTGATGTCACTCCTATGTGTTTGGTGATGTGATTTTTGTATTGAATGATGATGGTGTGATGTGTTGTGTTAGAAAACATCAGATGGTGTGATGTGTTGTGTTAGGTAACATCAGATGGTGTGTTTTATTGTCGTTTTAGAATTTTAAAAGATACTGACGTCACTCCTCTTTAGTGATGTCACGTATTATCTTAAGTAACATCATTCCATGTGTTAAATCATGCTGACTCTCGCATAATATCATCTATTATATCCAATAACATCATTTTTGCACTTCACTTCTCGCATATCCTCCATTATATCTAATAACATAATTTTATTTGACATTAAATCATATTGACTTCACTGACATCACCCCCTCTCGTATAATATCCTCCATTATATCTAATAACATAATTTTATTTGACATTAAATCATATTGACTTCACTGACATCACCCCTCTCGCATAATATCCTCCATTATATCTAATAACACCATTTTTTTGCATTAAATCATATTGCTATCACTCCCTGCGTCAAATGATGTCATACCTATTATCGGACGATGTCAGACCGAAGTCAGGCAGCCAACGAGGGCGAGCGTGGCGGCGTCTGGGCTTCAGCGTCGGTCCTGGAGTGTTTGCCTCGCCAACACTCCACTCCGCCGCCGCCGCCACCGTCCCTTCGTCAGCTGTTGTCTTCCTTTTTGCTTTTTTGGTCTTCTTTGCCAGGCTGTTCCTCTTTTTTTTTCTTCTTCTGATTATTTTTTTTTTTTTCGTTTTTTTCGTTATCTTTTCGTTTTTTTTTTAATTCGTTTTAATTTTTTCTTTTCTTATTTTTTGTCTTTTTTTGTTTGTTTGTTTGTTTGTTTTTTCGTTTTCTTGCCGTGTCTTTTCTTCTTTTTTTCTTCTTATCTTCCTCTTTCGTCCTCACTCTTCCCATTATTTCTTCTCCTTTTCTCTATTCCTCTTCTTCTTCTCTCTTTCTTTTCTATTTTCTTTCTTCCCTTTAACTTTATTTTTTTCTATTCGTCTCTTTCGCTTTCTCCTTCCCCTCCTTCCTCCTCCTTTCCTCTCCACCTACTCTTCTCCTTTATCTCTCTCCCCTCTTCCCATTTCGTGTAGGCTCTCGTTGCAAATTCTTTCCCCCTCCAACCCCTCTTCCCTCATTATCGCCACCCTTGCTGCGTCCACTATTCGCTGCGCTAATCGTCCTTGATTCCTCTTTTCCCCTGATTTATTATCGTCACTTTCCTTATTCCTTGTTCCTTAGTGAGACCGTTTTATTATATATTTTTTTCTGTTTCAATGTTACTTTTTCTGTTTCACCCATTTTATTATATATATTTTTTCGATATTTTACTTTTTCTGTTTCTCTTTTTAGTTTCGTAATTTTCCTTATTTCCTTTTTATCGGTTCGTTCTCTTTGAAAGTAGATATTTTTTTCCTCGTGTGCTGGGCTATTTTCGTCTTGATCTTATTACATTATTTTGTTGTTGGTTAGGCAGATCTGATTTTATTCTCTTTCTCTCTCTGTCTGTCTGTCTCTCTCTCTGTCTGGTTCTCTCTCTCTCTCTCTCTCTCTCTCTCTCTCTCTCTCTCTCTCTCTCTCTCTCTCTCTCTCTCTCTCTCTCTCTCTCTCTCTCTCTCTCTCACTCTCTCTCACTCACTCTTCACTCACTCACTCACTCACTCACTCACTCACTCACTCGCTCACCCACATAATCACATATATTACCATCCAGTGTCTTGTATTGCCTCCTAATGAGTGTCTCTTTTCCTCATTTTCCAGGGTGTGCTGATCCAGGAGGTCGATGAGGGCCAACCATGCCTCATGTGCCGAGACAAGTGCCCCGGGTACACTGCCCACGTCTGGAG